TCTCTGCACTGGGGGAATTCCACTGCTTTGCCCCCTATATGGCTCCTGCATGCTGCTGGAGCTCCATAAGGGCTCCAGTATCTGGACCTCGCTTCATGAGGTTGTCCAAAGAAAATCCACAGAGGGCCTTAAAAACAAGGAAGGTCTAGAGCTAGCTCCTGAACGAACAGGGACCCAGTGGAATTGTTTGAGGGTGGGAGAGGAAATCTGCAAAGCTGCACTCTAGGAGCTGCTGTAGAGAGTTTAGCATAACTTCTGCTCTCCCTCCTCCACCTCTATCCAGCACGACAGCTGCATTTTGCAAGTGTGGGTGGATTTCTCTTTGAAGCAGCAAAGTGCTGGGGCCTTCACGTCTTTCCAAGGGTCTGACCTGCTGGAGAGGGCTGGGCTTTCACGACACTGTTTTCCATGCAGAGGCAAAGCTCAGTGCATTTCAGAAGAGGGCCAGGAACGTCACTGAATAACACTGGAAGATGCAGTGAAGCTAGCAAGGACGAATGAGGAGGGTTAGCCAGTCCCCATGGCTCAAGGCGTCATCTGATTGACAACAAGGGTCATGTAGGAATTCCCCCTTATCCCTCTGGGACAGAGTTGCAGGAAGGGGCGGTCTGACATTAGCCGCTGATGGGGACAGGCAACTGGACTAGATGGACCATTGTTTTATTCATTGTGCTAATTCCTATGGCTTAACAGTAATTGCAAGGAATGTGCGAGGCAGGATCCCCGCTGAGGAGATAATGTGCAAGGAGTGGGCCAGAAGGGTTGGGAGATCAGGGTTTCCTGAGAATCATGAGTGTTTCCTTTCCCAGTGCACTAAAAAGAAAGCTAGGGACAAGTTCCGTTGCTTCAAAATGAGCTTCCCCATCTCTGGTCCTTGAAAAGACTCATCCTTCTTATCTGTGTCCCTTCCATGTGCTCCAGCCCAGGAGTGATATGGAACGCAATGGCGATGCAGGCTGTAAACAGGGGTGGAACCATCCCTCTCTTCTTCTGAGCAGTGGTAGGGGTGGGTGACAGAAATTGTACCAGAATTTGCATTATTCATCTGTGCCGATGCACATCAATCCAGTAATGCTGCTCCCTTCTATTCCAGCCCTGGGCTCCCCACAGACAGCTCTGCCAACGGCCCTCAATCCTGACCTCCGCTATTCCAGTTCTATTCTTGCCACCCATAGCTTTGCCGATGCCCCACACTCCCAACCTGCAGCCCCTCTGCTATTTGAGCTCTGGGCTCCCCACATGTAGCTCTGTCGATGCCCCTCAGTGATGACCTGCTGCCCCCCTGCTGTTCCATTCCTGGGTCTCTCCTGAGCAGACGTGCCAATGGTACTGAAATGAGCATTGTTTTTAATGTGGCGACATGTCCACTAGGGATTGGTGAGGTGTCAGCATTTGTGCCTATCCATCTCTTCCACAGACCGAGGATTCCTGCAACCCACTGAGATGCCTCCCAATCACTGTAAGGCTAATGACAGCTCAGCCTGTTGTACTCAACAGCCGTCCTTACTTTTCCTAAGCATGGGGCTCGCATAGACACCTCTGTCATCCAGAATGCCTAACCAAGGATGCTCTTGGAGTTAAAGCACGGGGCTGGAACTTGGGAGGTCTAAGCTTAAATCCTATCTGGGCAAGTCACTTCCTCTCTCTGCATGTGCTTCCCCATCTGTAACACGGAGATGATTCCACTTCCCCCACCCCATGGAGGGGCTGAGGGATTACATCCTTAGCATTTGGATGGGCCTGTGAGATCCTGTGAAGAGAGGTGCTTGAGGAGTGGATAGGATTATTATGCATCACTGGGATCGAGGAAAGCTGGCCAGCTATGGGGTTGAAGGACCCTTACCAGTGGTTTTTGCTTTTTGAGAACTTAAAGTATGATGAATGCAAATAAACTGGAAACAAATGCAAATAAACTGTATGTTCTCTGTTGGCTTGACCAGTTCTATAGAAGTGAGTATGATCTGAATTTGTGCCTGGAGTTGTTTGTATCTGGACCTAGTGTAAATGGGTGCAACACCTTTCCGTGGTGCTGTATCGGCGTAGACCTGGCCCCCCTAGCCTCTGTGTTCAGGATAGCAAAGTGCGTAGCTTGGGGCAGAACTACTCAAGAAGTTCCTTTCCCCTGTGGCCTTCCCGGGAGATTATAGACCTGATGACTTTTTCCAAAACAGCTAAGCAGGTTTTAATGAAGAGAAGTTAGAATGTGTCTCCCCGGGGTGACTGAAGGGGCCGTAAGGCCAGGACAGAAAACAGAGTGCGCCGGCTTGGCAGGTGTTACAGCAGTGGCTTTCTCATGTGTGTGATCTTTAATGGGATGCTGCCTGGGAACAAGTAATGGCCAAGGTGACTAGTGGTTGAGACGCCTTATAGTATCGGTCTGACTTTTTTTTTTTCAAAGGGTTCAGCACTTCTGAAAATCAGGCCCCTGGAAGGTGTCTTGAGTTGGGCGCCCAAAATCACTGCTCCCTGTCTGAGAGGGAGGCCAATATATGTAGATGGTAACTCGGCTCCCTGGCTGAGTGAATAATCACATCCTGGCCCAAATGCAGTGAGGCTGCAGCCTGTTACAGGCAAGGGGGGATGCAGAGTGAGTGTGTGTGCATGAGACGTGCTCTGCTCCCAATGGCAGGCTCGGGAGAGAACTTTGGTGGTGTGTTTTGAAGGGCAGTGTAGGGGTTTAGGAGGCCAGAGAGGAAGGGCCGGGTCTTTGAGGGTGGAGAAGGAAACAGCAGAATTTGTACATGATGTGAAGGGCCTGGGTGTGAGTGGTGGATGAGAGGAGAGGTAGAAGACTGGCAGATGTTAAGACCAGAAGGGACCAGTGTGATCTCCTGAGTTACGCAGTCCAGCCATTTGAGGCCCTGCACAGCGGGGAGGAGCAACTTGTAAAGGGCACCAGAACAAACCTGCATTTGTACAGCACCTAGCGCAACGGGGTCCTGGTTCGCGGCTGGAGCTCTTAGGCACTACAGGAATACAGATAATAGTACTCGTACAAAAAGTAAGAACATAAGAATGACCATACTGGGTCAGACCAATGGTCCGTCTAGCCCAGTGTTCTGTCATCTGACAGTGGCCAGTGCCAGGTGCTTCAGAGGGAATGAACAGAACAGGGCAGTTATCGAGTGATCCGTCCCCTATCGTCCAGTCCCAGCTTCTGGCAGTCAGATGTTTAGGGACACCCGGAGCATGGGGTTGCATCCCTGACCATCTTACCTAATAGCCACTGATGAACGTATCCTCTGTGAAGTACCATGTCTGCCCAGAACAGAGGTTTTGCAGATTTGCTTTCAATGGCTCTCACTCCAACCTAAACGACTCAGCTTGCCTACCTTGAGCTGATGCAGATAGGCTGCTGAGATTTGAACTGGTGGTTCCAAGGAGACTAGGAATGTCAATCCTGATGCTTAAAAGGGTAAGCCACCCCCTTCAGTTTACACAGCACCAACAGGGCTTGCTTACGTTACTCCTAAATCATCAACATCATCATCATCGTCTCAGATTTTGTTTATACAGCACTGTGAATGTGCGTGACACTTTAGAGGAGGAAAAGACACCCCTTCCCCCCCCCCCCCCCGAGCGAAGGCAACTAATCTAAACGAGCACATGGCATGAGGAGGGGAGGGCAAGGATGAACATAATAAAAAGATCATGTCCTGCTGCTAGTGTTATTGATCATTTATTTAACATCTATATATAGCAGCACAGCAGAGTATGTCCGTGCTGTCACTTTGAAACCCTGCTAAAGAAGTTACCATGGTTTCAGATTGACAGTGCAGTGTGCCTGTCCGACAGACTCTAAAAATATGAAGTCACACTGGAACCTTGCTGAGCAGGGAGCAGAAATCACATCTGGTAGCATGGATGGGCTCCTCTGTTCTTGCCAGAGGTTTGACTCGCACTGCTGCTACATAGTACAGGAGCAAGCCTATGGAATGCTGACCCTTTGCCCCTCTGGGGGGAGGGATGGCTCAGTGGTTTGAGCTTTGGCCTGCTAAACCCAGTGTTGTGAGTTCAATCCTTGAGGGGGCCATTTAGGGATCTGGGGCAAAAATTGGGGGTTGGTCCTGCTTTGAGCAGGGGGTTGGACTAGATGACCTCCTGAGGTCCCTTCCAACCCTGATATCCTATGATTCTCTCCATGTGGTATAGGATCCTAATGAACTGCTTAGTGTACGTGTCTTACTTCCTTCTACTAGATGGAGCCAGAGCTGTTCAACTGTGTGTCATAGGCCCTCTACAGTTAGTGGGTACAAGGAGGTTCTCCCTTAAATCAGGGTGCAGTGCAGGAGGAGCTGAGATCTTGTTGCGCAGTCACCATAAAGTTGCGAGTGATCATACTGTGCAGCATAGTGAGAGCCAGGAAGTCCTGGGGCGTTCCGGATTTATTACAGAATTGATCTATGGAACATTCAATGACATGGAAAGGTGGCAAATTTAAACCTGATAAATAGGAATACTTTCCTACACAATGAGGATTTAGACTGTGGATCTCATGGCCATGTGAAGTTGTTGAAGCCATGAACAAGATGCAAAGAGGGCAACAGGAATATCCAGAGTTATAATGCTAAAGACCAAGAAATGAGAATTTAAGGAGGGATATAAAGCCTCATATGCCAGGACTATTGTGGGTTAGGATGAGATCTTCCGGGGGCGTTTCTTACACCTTCCTCTGAAGCACTGGCCACTGTGGGAGGCAGGACGCTGAGCTAGATGGACGATGGGTCTGATCCAGTCTGACAATTCCTGTGTTCCTATAGGCCCCTGGTCAGGCTAATTCAGGGTGGTGGTGGTTATTCCTTTCTCGGAAACATTTGCAGCAGCCTGCTGTGGGAGACATGATTCTGGGATACATGGACCATGGGGCTGTCCATATGGCAGTTCTGGTGGTGGTGAGTGTGGACAGCAATGTCCCTGCCTTCTCCCCCAAGCTCCCTCTTGTCTTTCCCTTCTGCACTGGTGACGTCACCCCTTCTCTCTCTCTCTCGCTTTCTCTGAAGATTCTGTCCAATGTCGCCATCTACCTGTGCACCATCACTGTGGGCATCATGTCCTACTACATGGCAGACCGCAAGCACCGCAAGGCCTTCCTGGAAGCACGGCAGTCTCTCGAGGTCAAACTCAACCTGGAGGAACAAAGCCAGCAGCAGGTAAGAGCAGATCCCTGATTTGCTGCCAGATGCTTGTGTCTTCCTGCCAGAGAGCATGTCGCTGGCCTGTCATCTCGCGTGGCAGGAAGGGAGATGTGGGAAACTTACTGAGGATGGAGGAAAGCTGTTCCACTCTGGGGTTGACTCTGTCAGCTCCCCAGATCCCCCCCATCCTCTGCTGTTGCCAGTGGAAAGTGTTTGCAGAGAGACCTTGTGCTAAATGATGGATCCTGACGCTAGTCAAGGGCTGGGCCTTTAGCATGGTGACACTCTGCTTTCGGTGCTGCAGGTCACCCTCAGGGTGCATCAGCCAAGTTGTGTGCAGGGAACCTCAGACTGAGAGCGTGAACTTTTTGGTGCAGGGACCGTCCTCATGTTCTGTGTGCGGACAGCTCCTAGCGCGGCGAGGCCACTGTGCATGACTAGGGCTCCTGGAGGCTACTGCGATACGAATAGTAAATAACAATAAGAGGAGAGGACTGAGGGGCACTGGCAGAGCTAGGATGGGGGAGGGCCGGGACTGGATTAGTAGTGGGAGGCTGCAGGTGAGGATCAAGGTGCATTTGAGGAATTGTGCGCGAGGCCCAGTGCAGAAGCCAAAAGATGAGGAATCTGACCTCCTAAAGAATAGCTGCGCTGGGTAGAGGAAGTCGGTTCTTCCCCCACCCATCCCTGGGCTAATGTGACTGTTTTGTGGGGGTGGCCAATGGGAGCTATGGTAACGGAACTGAGATTGTACTCTACCTTCCTGTCCCTACCGCAGTGCCCATGACTTTTAATGTGGCTGAGCTCGTCTCTGCCTGTGTGTCTCTGTGACCTGACTTTCTGCTGTGAGCGTCAGGTGAAGAGCCCCCCAGGTTCTTATGCTGCCTCCTTCTCTAAAGGGCAATGCATCAGCTGTTTGCGTTCTAAGTCCAAGGGCTGAATTCATGCAGCGAGAGCAGAGGGCAGGCAGTCGGGAGAACCTGGAGTATGGTAGGGAGACAGTGTTGCCTAGTAGGTAGAACGCTGCACTGGGACTCGGAGACCTGAGGTCTATTCCCAGTTCTGCCACTGAACTTTTGGATATCCCTGAGCAAGTCACTGCACCCCTTTATGCCTCAGTTTTCCCATCTCTAAAATGGGGATAATGATCCTGATGTTCTTTGTAAAGCACTTGGAGACCTACTGATGAAAAGTACTATCAAAGAGCTAGGTGGTATTTATTTATTTATTTACTTATGGCTGGTTATATTTAGGCCATTTGTCCACTGGGATTTTACCCACTACACCCTGGTAGCTGCAGCAGTGCAAAGCTCCAGGGTAGACATGAGTTGCACCGGAGTGAATCCTGTCTGCTTCAGGGGTTTGTGCCAGTAGCTAGAATCCCAGTGTAGCCACAGCCCCTTTTTGGCAGGGCTGATCATTCCATTCTGCATGACCTCTGATGAGTCACCGGCTGCCCTTCTGCCTCTCCTCCACCCAGCTGGAATATTGAATATAAACTGAGAGCAGAAAATCTCATCTCCCTGAGAACCAGATGCTGCGATAAGTGCACTCCGCTTTCCTGGGTAATTATTAATCATATGCAAGCCATGTGATATAAACCACATGGACGTGACGTTACAAGGGTGGCTGGGAACAGCTCTGGGAAGACACAGCTGCCCGCTTGTTCCTTCACATTGCAAAACCTTTAGCCGTGCAGACGGCAAAAGTCAGGCGGGCATGTTTCCCAGGCCGCACGCTGAATGGGTGCACTGTCCTGTTCCCATTTCAAAGGCTCCAGCTTGCCGTTCCCAGAGGAAACAGTGGTTTGGGGAATGGGATTCAGGATGGAGCAGGAGATACAAACTGGGGTTAAAGAGGCTCTAGATTTCCAACAGAGGCCAGCATTCAGACCAAAAGCCAACCTCTAACTACTGGGGTTAGGAAGAAATTTTACCTGAGGGTAGCTTATCCCATATCTGCTGACTGCAGGGATTGTAGCCTCTTCCTCTGCAGCAGCTCATGCTGGCCACTGGTGGAGACAGGACACAGGACTAGATGAGGGCTTAAAGACGGGAGGGTTGTAAGGGGTCGCAGATCCAGAGGAAAAAAACATAATTAAATGTGGAGCTGGGTCCCGGCGGAGTGCACTTTAACCACAGCTCTCGGGTTATGATAGACCCCTCCTGCTGGCACACTTTTTTCAGACCACTTTAAGCACTGACTAGATGGATCCTGGGTCTGATCCAGTCTAGCTGTTCCTGTGCTCAAACCCTGATACTCTCCCACTTGACACTGAGCTCGGTGGGTCCTTTCAGAGTCGCCAGTGTTTATAATCCCCCACATCACAGAGCAGTTGGCTCATCTAGAATAGCTCACACTTCTCCAGCACCTGGCATCTGAGTGCATTACAAACTAAATTAAACCCTGCAGCCCCCTGGGAGGGCGGTATCGTTACCCCCATCGTACAGGTGGGGAAACCGAGGCAAAGAGCAGGCAAGTGGCTTGCCCAAGATCTTGCCACAAGTTACTGGCAGAGCTCAGAAGGGGGCCTGCAGGCCTGATTCTTCTTTCGCTGTCAAGTGGGAACAGCTCCCTAGACGTCCGTGGAGTGACACTAACATAAACAGGTGTGAGAGGAGACTGTGGGCTTGTCTCTGTGGGCTCCCAGCCCTGTGTGTGTAGTTACAGCTGTGTCCATTCACCGAAGAGCTGTTAGCAGAGAGCTGGCATCTCACTGACAGGAACCTGGTTAAAAGCCGTGCTTCCTCTTGCCTGCTTCCAATTATGAGCTGGGCTAATTTTAGCACCTTATCTAGGGCCTGTCTCCCTCTCTCTCTCCCTGTCCTGTTATCTATCCAATGTGCTGCCAGCAATCTGCTCCCAAGAGCGACAGAGGCATGCACCCATCCAGGTCACTGGCTGGGTGACAGAGCCATGCCAGCAGCTTTCTGTTTGATCAAGGACTCTGAGCAAAGCCATCATGTCTGTCCTAGTGCCCCAGGACAAGGGTAGGGTGGTGGGGCAGGGAGTGGTCCGCTGGCTGTACTGCCTGGATATTTTGTGGCCTGTTTCCAAGAGGAATCTCTGGGTTTATTGCATGGGGGAAGTGTCTTCTGGCACAAAGTGGCCATCAAACCAGAGGGATCTCTGGTTGATGTCATGAGTAGCTTTGCACCTCCTACTCCTCCCTGTCCCGGCCATCATGGTGAGGTGTGTGGTTAAGCAAAAATAGGGGGTGACAGGAGTGTCAGAGCTCTCCAGCAATTCCCCAGCTGGCGTCGTCACCCTTTTGGCCATGACCATCCATCCCTGCTGATGAGATCCATCCCATCCCTGCTGATGACAGTCATGTCTGTTCATATGCGGCCAGGGAGACTCTCTCAAGTTCATTGGCCCAAACTAGCCTTCAGGGCTTCTGCATCACCAATGAAAAGACAGCAGAAATACGCTCAAACAATCTGCAGAAGCTGTTTTATGCCATACTTTTTCCTGTCTCTGCTCCGCATTTTGTTTCCCTTTTTGCCATTGTGTTCTCTCTCCCCCCTCTCTGCTCCTTTTCTCCTGAGTGGAACGTGAAGTGTCCCCAGTAATGCTGGCCTTTGAATCAAACTTTTGAACCCCAGATGTCTGAGCTGCAAATTAAGTTGCATGTATTGATCTGTCTCTAACATACAACGTTGGTTAGTGTTTGCAGAGACCTCTTTTTATGAGTCACTCTCCTTCCAGAGCTCTCTCAGTTCAGTTGTCCCTTTCCTTCCTTCCTTTCATCCTCTCCATTTTCCTCTAGTTTCCCTCTCCATCTGTATTTCTCTCTCTCTCTTTTCATTGTCTCTCTGCCTTGAACGGTTCCTCACTACTTGCCTGTCAGGAGGACACCACATGTTCCCTAAAAGTGGCTCTCTAAGGCATTAGAAAAGACCAGCACTAATGCTGGACACTCCATATACAAATACTGGAACCAGCACATACCTCGGTCCGTCATCCGTTCTGCCCTGGGACTGGTATTTTATTCAGGTGAGCGTCTTGAGGTTCAAACGTCAGCCATAAACTCCCTACATACTACCGTGATGGGTGTTTGAGAAATACAGATTAGATCCTGTAAAGAAGCAGCTACTGCGTATGTGTAACCGCTACCCTCTACTGGATGGAATCAGAACTGCTCAGCTATGTGTGATAGGCCCTATACTGCCCTCTGCTCCGAGTCTCTTTTGGCTCAAGTAGGAGGGGCCTGTGTTTTGGAGCAGGAATTCTATTCCTCCTCTTCACGTTACGTTCTCAGTGGGTCATCATGCACAGCGTAGTGTTGTCTGTGACGTCCTGGATGCTTGAGACTTTCGTTGTGGTAGATTGGATTTCTTTTTCTTCAAAAGGGTCAGCGGCAGCCACCTTTTCCTCTGGTGCCTTTGAGCTTTGTGGGACAAAGGCAGATCTCTGATAACAACGTCTTTTGTGATAGATTAAGCATGATGCAAAAAGGCAGGTCATTACTGGAACCAGCTCTGCTGTTGCTCTTGGTGCTATATAGCTATTTAATGGCTTGTTTGGAAAGCATTTGAAAAAATGAATGCAAGCTTCTCCCGCCCACAGCAATAATAGAGCATCTAGGGTGGAAGTTTAAATGCACAGATGTCGGAGAACTGGAAAGGGAAGGTTCCCACAGCAACATACATTCAGCCACGCTGCACATCTGTGAAAGGGTAGAGAATATCAGTGGATGGAATGACGCAAATGTCAATTTAGCTTGAATATCTGGGGAAAGTGTCTTAAAAGGGATTACAAGGAATGGTCTGTCCCCAGGGGAGTAGGGAAAAGACCCAGGACTGGAGATATTTTAAATCTGAATGGGACAAAACACTGGCAAATAGACTGTAAGGAAGAGTCTTGCACTGATTTGGGTAGACTAAATCAGTGGTTCTCAACCAGGGGTACACAGAGGTCTTCTAGGGGGTACATCAACTCATCTAGATATTTGCCTAGTTTTACAACAGGCTACATAAAAAGCACTAGCAAAGTTAAGTTCAAACTAAAATTTC